AGATATATTTTAGTACGGAATATAGATACATTTTGATACAGAATATAGATATATTTTAGTACGGAATATAGATACATTTTAATACAGAATATAGATATATTTTAGTACGGAATATAGATACATTTTAATAAAGAATATAGATATATTTTAGTTTGGAATATAGATACATTTTAGTACAGAATATAGATACATTTTAATACGGAATATATATTCATTTTAATACGGAATATAGATACATTTTAATACAGAATATAGATACATTTTAATAAGGAATATAGATACATTTTAGTACAGAATATAGATACATTTTAATAAGGAATATAGATACATTTTAGTACAGAATATAGATACATTTTAATAAGGAATATAGATACATTTTAATAAGGAATATAGATACATTTTAATACGGAATATATATACATTTAGTTGAGGATATACACACATCTTAGTTAAAAATGCAAATTACATTTAAAATTTAAAATATATTTTTGTAGAAAATATTAAATTATTCATTTTTCAATTAGTTTGACTCATATTTGACCTTTTGTATTTATTGTAATTGTTTGAATTCTTTGTCTTCTATAAAAAGTACAGTAAAACATTTTAATTATAAATTAAAACGTAGTTGAATAGTTGAATAAAGTTAAATATATTTCAAATTTTATTTAAAGCGATATTTTGCAGTGAAATCTGATAAACTGTAGAACAGGAAGACGATATTTAAAAGGATCTGTCAGTGTAGTTTCAAGTGACCCTCCATACAAAAAGCAAAGTCCGATTCACGACTGTACTCTTTATACATCTGAATTTGATTAAGAATATGGAAATGTTAATTTTGATAATTCCTATATTTTTTTCTGAAGTAGAAATGCGCGAGTAGTTTTTTTTGAGAAACCACAATTGTAAATAAACATTTCATACTTGATCAGACAAAACTTTTGCGGGAACCCTGTAGTTCATAAACATGATTTTAATAACATATGTTACCCTCTGTTCCAATCCTAACGATGATTATCCTCCCTTTCCCTTATATCTCCCTCACCTCCTCCTTACTTTTTTCCTGATTTATCATCATTCTTATGTTTAAAATGTACAATGTACATTGTTTTTATCTGCAATTCTCATTCGTTTATAGTGGGCCAACAAATTAAAACAACCTACTCTGGTTAGGCGGGTCCAAACTACATAGTAAATTGTGATCTTTTTATTTGTATTATCTCGTGCTTTGTAGTTGAATAAAAATATGAAAATGAAATGAACCTTTGTGAATCAGACATTGCCATCTGTGAATGGTGGAATCTTGTATGTATTTGATGTTTGATCAGTACTTTGAAAATCAGCTTAAGTAGCTGCAAATAGGCAAGCTGCATGCACAGTTACTGCGTTTCATGCATGGACTATATAAATCATAATTTGAGTCTAACAGTCGTCTTCCAATTGGACAAGTTTATGGATCCCATTGTTTAATTAGAACCTGTTGATCCATCCATACATTCAGAGTCCTGGTTAGTTGGGAAGAAAACAACAGCGGGGTCCTAGAATTCATAATAATAATGATAATAATAATAAAATACAGGGTGTCACAAGAAAACATGAAAATTAAAAGATTGTTTAACTTTTTCATAATATTCATGAGTCATGATACCGACATTATTGGGGTCCCATAAGGCCCCAAATCAAGAAAGCTTACCGCGCAAAGTTTCTGAAGTATTTAACATTAATTATTTTGCGGAATAATGCAGTTTCGCGCAAAAACAATTGTATTAATAAGTAAAAAGAATGATAACAGAGCGTAAAAAAGAATGATCAACCGTTGCTTGTTTTGATTTCCAAAATTTTACCCTCAGAATTGACATAGATATGAAAAAACTGTTTAAATTTAATTTTTTTGAATAAAAAACTAAATACTCTGCAGATATTAAGTTTATCTAATTTTTCAAGTCTTAATTAAATTCAAAATTAATTAATATATTTTTAGTAAGCCGAGAACTTTAAACAAAACTGTACTACAATAGTTTATTCAAAAACTGTACTACAATAGTTTATTTAAAAACTGTACTACAATAGTTTATTTAAAATATGTACCTTTGGAGTTTCTATAAACGATTCTTCTTCTAATTTACTCTCTTGTGCACTGTAATCAATATTTTTCTGAAAATTATTACATTTTGCGTCACTTCTTTTTTTTCTTTAATATAATGTCATTATGTATGTACAACTTGTGTTTTGCGATAACCCGATTTCCCCGTATTTTTAATTCATATATAACAAAGTACGTACGGTACATAACCTGTACCGAAAGGTTTTCCTTGAAAGCATAGAAATTGGGTCTTTTTCACAAAATCTAATTTTTAAATCCCTATATCTATGCAACCCAGTGTATCGTAGACCTTAGATATTTCATAGTTTAGAAAAAAAAACTATGTGCATTTTTAAATGTATTTTTAAATGTAAACAACTGTACAGTGCAGTGAAGTTTTTTAAAATTAATACAAATTTACAGTGTAGTACAATATTTTTAAAATGTATACAACTGTACAGTGTAGTACAATATTTCTAAAATGTATGTATACAACTGTACAGTGTAGTGCAATATTTCTATAATGTATACAACTGTACTAGGGTTTCCAACGTAATAGATTATTCTCTTACGCGTAATTACGTGCAGTTACGCGTTATAATGTTCATTTCGTGTAATTTTGCAGGATTATTCGTAATTTGGGAAATATCCATTTCGCTTAATTTCTACAACGTAATTTTGAGAAATTACGTAATGGTTACGCTCNCGTAATAAGCGAAACTATAATTACGCGTAATTACGGCGTAATTTCGCGTTATTTCTATGAAGTAATTTTGCAAAATTTTGTATTTATTACGCGTAAATAGCGAAACTTCAATTTCGCGAAATTACGCCGTAATTTTGCGTAATTTCTACAAAGTAATTTTGCGAAATTTTGCAATAATTACATCTTTAAAATTTTGAAGTTTTAACTTTTAATATAAATAAAACAACTAACTTACATGGAAAATAATGTCACGCAAGTTGAATCAGAAATTTCAGCCAATACTATATGTAATTTTTTACGTTCGACAACTAAAAAGTTTAACAAAGGGCCAACAATTTATTTTTATCAAAGAAATACATAATCTATAAATTTTCAATTTTCGACGACTTGTTAATATTTCAACTATTTTCTCAAATTTACCTTCCTTGTTTGAAAAAAATGTCAACAAAATCGCCAAAATATTGTTATAAATTACACATTTCGAAAAATGTATAGGCGCAGAATTTCTTCTGGGTGATTTTACAGCTAAGTCTATCAAACCTTGTTTATCCTTTACCAAAAAGTAAAGGAAAGTCCAGCAGATAGAAACATTGTGGGCTTAACAACATTAACTCTAACCATTAATTAATTCTCCAGGCTTGGAATAATATAAAAAATTCTCGTACTTTTTTATTACGGAATTGTTTCGTATTACGTCATTTCGCGTAATTACGCATTAATTACGCGAAAATAGACTTTCTTTCGTAAACGTAATAAAAGCTTAATTACGCGTAATACTTCTGCGTAAGTGAACGAAAGTGTTTAGCGTTATTACGCGTAATTACGCGTAACGTAATTACGACTGGAAGTGGAAACCCTAATCTGTACAGTGTAGTAGACTATTTCTAAAATGTATACAACTGTACGGTGCAGTACAATATTTCTAAAATGTAGACAACTGTACGGTGCAGTACAATATTTCTAAAATGTAGACAACTGTACAGTGTAGTACAATGTTTCTAAAATGTATACAACTGTTTAGTGTAGTACAATATTTCTAAAATGTATACAGCTGTACAATGTAGTACAATATTTTAAAAATATATACAACTGTACAGTGAAGTACAATATTTCTAAAATGTATACGACTGTACAGTGCAGTACAATATTTCTACCTTAGTGTCTGTAAACGTACTGGAAAATAATGAAGTTAAAAAATTGAAAAATCCAGACTTCTGGGTCCCTCTGCAAACCAAAAGCATAAACAATGAAAAACTTTAAAGAAAATTGCGTAATTATAATCTTAATATAAGAGATATCAACATTTGTCTCAAACTCTAATTTTTTCAATCCTTATATCGCCGCATGAAACCTGATGTCGATAACCCTTTGATATTTCCAACTATCAACTCTAAGTCAGAGTTTAAAATATGAAATGTTTACGTCATTACAGTATAAGGTTGAAAAATAATTATTGATAATAAGAGTCAGTTGCTGTCACGTGATCAGATCCGTTTAACAATATTCAGCCTTTAACCCTAAACAGGCTGGGTGGGTGGGGGGGATGTTCAAGCGTCCCCTCTTTTTTGCACTTGGAGTTTTTTCACTTTTAAGGATTAGTATATTAAAAGATTTTTTTTGGAAAATCTAAAATAGCCTAAAACTTTTTTTTTGATTAAATCTACAGATCTAAACTATATCTTTAAAATCCCTTGAGAAATGGAAGAAGAAACATGTGTCACATCTTAATATTTGCCAAAAATAAAAAATAAACTTTTTACGTTTTTCTAGTAATTTTTTTTGATAATTTTTCCCAACCTCCCCAGCGCCTCAACTATTCAAATTAGCGGTCTATTTTTCTTTTCAATGAGTTGGCCTGGAAAAATTAGGACAATGAACATATGTATTACAACCCACCTTTACTCTATGGCTCTTTTCTAGGGGGAGGGGGCATATGACGCTCCCCCCAGGTTAAAACAAGATTTTGAATCCCTAGCCTTTATAGGATTAAAGATATTGAAAAAAATCCAAAATTCACAGTTTTTTGGCTTATGTCGTCTTATGTCGTCTTTTTAAGAGTTGAAAACATTGTTCCGAGAATTTATATTTAGAAAAAATATTCAGTTAAACAAATAATTATTTTTCTTTAACTTTTTTGCGGTTCATTTTATAACATTATAATGATATTTTAGTGACAGAAACACAATTTTCATTGACAAATTTTTCGTTATTGCCTAGACATTGGTTTTTTAATAAAACCTGATGAAAATTTATATTTATAAAAGATGACATAAAAATTGAAAATTTAGCAATTTTCTTTGATTTTATATTGTATTGGTTTCCTTTTGTTTGATTTTGTTCCTCTCATCATCTGTTTTCTAAAAAAATTATAATGAAACGAGTAATCAGTACTTTTTGTAGATTTTCCGGTTTTTAATTCGAGAATTTTTTAAATTACAATAAAAAACCTCTTTTTCTTAAATGGAAGAAACGATTTCTAGAGATAAAAAGAATATTTTTAAAGGTAAAAACAAAATTTAATAAAAATTTATTTGTCTTTGATTTTCTGAAATACATGGAAAAAACTTAAAAGCTTAACTTAGTATCATGTAAATCATGCATTCCTAAAAACTTGCAAAAATATCCTTAAAAACAGTAAATATGTCTTTATTTCATACAACATATTTTGTACGAGAAATATGTTGTGAATTTTCAATAAAGTACTTTGTCACCTTGAAAGTAACTGTTTGATTTCAAGTAACCTCCAAAAAAAGGAGTAGTCAATTCACATCAATTATCTAATCACGGGTAGCCGTAGAACATTTGAATTTCTTAGCCGGGTCAACCTTTCTGGTCCCCAGTTTGTACTGTACCAAACTCTATGGACAGGACTAGCCGGTGCAACAAGGTTGACGCGGTCATAAAGGTTGAATTTACTTTTACCAAAGGGGCAGAGGTGCGTGTACTGATATCTTTCTGTTTATAAACAAAAATTAATAATTTGTTATTTCTTTACAAAAATAGACTGCAAACACAACAAATGACATGGCTGAATTAAACAGGTTATAAATCAAAACGAGAAAAATCATCCTAATTGCTGCACAGAGTCAGAAATCAAAAGGGTACCGTCGGCAATCGGACATGGACATTGGACATACCACTTCTTGATAGTCACTTGTAATTCTACATGATACAGTCCCTTTAAATTAACATATTGATCTTTTCCTTGTTACCTACGGCCATTATTGCTGTTTTTTAGATATCTTTGTTTTTTGATAAAATTCAGGCTGTCATCAGATTTCTCAAAACTTTCTCCAAATTCTATTCGTCCGGGCCGCCGATTAAACGCTGGATCCAGATAATTGGCGGGTAACTCCGCCGAATGTATTCCGGCGATGTTCAGTGAGTTCATTTTAGTGAATTGGTTGTAATAATACTGTTTTTAAACGACTGAATTGGATGGGGGGGGGGGGGGGGAAGGCAGGTATAAGTACCGTATGAAAAAACAGTACCTATACTAAATGACTTGGGTTTTAAATTTCTCATAAAAAGTAGTGAACGTATTTGGAAAAAGTCTTATTCGAGGAATTCAATTGGAAGACGAACATTACGCATTCTTGTTATAATTCCTTATTGTTGTTTCATGTTGATCCAAATATTTCAAAGCACATACTTGAGTCTAACAGTCGTCTTTATTCCTATTCCATGGTTATATATATTTTGTGCCACAACTACATTAAAGTAAAGGGAAAATAACAAAAACATGAAAACAAAAATTCCATTTAAAAAACTTTAAAAACATATTTTTCTAAATTCTTTCTGTACAATAAAAAAGTAAGATTCTTTTTGGTTGCATTTCAATATGCTTTTCATAAAAGATATTAAACAAAAGCATAATTGCCCCCTCCCCACCCCTTGCTGTAGGGTTGGTAATCGTTTTTGAAAACGATCGTTAAATGATCGTTTTTTGTCTCGTTTTTAATCGTTTAAAACTTTTAGAAAACTAATAACGATCTTTTTTTAAAAACGATTGTTTTATAAAACGATTTGCTACCGTTTTTCATACGATTGTTTTTTATAAAACGGTCGCTTTTGAAAAAACGATCGTTTTTGAAAAAAATTGTATTGCCATTTATGTTAACGATCGTTAACAAAGGGTTGTCGTTAACGATCGTTAATGAAGGGTTGTTTTCGGAAAAAAATGACATGCAAGTTTCTTGAATGTTGTCTTACATGAAGTTAAACAGTTTTTGTGAAGCTAAAACTTCTTGATATTTTCTTAAAAACTACTTAATGATAAGCACAGATGCCCTTCAGGTCGGTTTCCTCCTTTCGTTAACGATTGTTATCGAAGCGACGTAGTTAACGATCGTTAACGAAACGACGACTTTTATAAAACGATCGTTTTGAAAAACTATCGTTTTTAAAACGACCAATTTTAAAAAACGAACTTAAAAAAAACTATCTTTTAAAAACGATCGTTATACACGGGAAAATGTCTGATTGCAGTATTGCAGTATCCTAATATTTATCTCTACTATACTGTACTCTCGGTTAAAATATGTTACCTAGCCGGTCTCTCCCTTTATAAAATGTTTTATAGTCAAATCAGTATATTTCCTTTTATGATTGTGATAATGCCCATAAATCATTTACTAGAGTAAAAAAACAAATACAGAAAAAGTTGTTCCTTCCATTATATATAAAGTTATCAATTAATCAAGTCTATATTTGTTAAGAATTCTTTTCAACGCATCTCTTTTCTTTCTCCAACAGCCGCCTCTACATCCCCCTCCTCCTCCTCCTCCACCTCCTCCACCACCACATGCAGCAAGTCCGCATCCATTCCCTAAAAGTAGAAATTTCAAGTTATTTTAAATTAAATGTTTGTTTGTTTCAAATCAATTATTTTTATTTGAAATTCTCGCTTAATATTTTTATTGTTTAAATAGGTCTTAAAAATCCCAAAATACTTGGTGTTTATTATCTAGGTAACCATGTTTGTTTGTTTCAAATCAATTATTTTTATTTGAAATTCTCGCTTAATATTCTTATTGTTTAAATAGGTCCTAAAAATCCCAAAATACTTGGTGTTTATTAACCGTAAAACCATATCCTATACCTCCTCCTCCCGCATTAAAGTCTGAGGTCTGCCTGCAGTATCCCCACTAAAATAAATAAAAGAAAAAATGCAAAACTTTGTATCCAATTGTTTTGATAAAAAAAACTACCCACCTTGCTACAAAAAGGGGCCCAACTGGTGCAATCAGCGTCAGAGCTACACTGCCCCTCTCCTCCTAAAATATGTTTTAATCAGTCATTTGTATATATTGACAAATAAAATTAATACAGGGGTGTCCCAATAAACATGACAATTAAAAGCCAACCTCAAAGATCGTCTTTGATTCTTGACACCTGCTGTAAACTTCACATTATGTGCTCTATCCCCTTTGTTGGATGTTCAAACAAATCTAGTTTTTTTATAAAATATTTAATTCTTAAAGCACAAAATTGGCAGACTATTTTTTTAAAAATGCTGCGCGGAGGACTGAGGGAGTTTTAGGATAGTTATTTTAAGAATCATACACTTTTAATTTGTCTCTTAACTATTGGAATATCCTGTACCTGATGAGCCTCCAGAGGCATAACCTGTGGATGCAGATGGACTTCCTCCCCCACCACAACCTCCAGGTCCACAACCTCCTCCTCCTCCACTGCTGTAGCCTCCACTTACAGGGCGACCTCCACCTCCACAGCCTCCAGAACCACAACCTCCCCCTCCCCCTCCACTGTTGTAGCCTCCACTAACCGCAGGACGACCTCCACCTCCACAGCCTCCAGAACCACATCCTCCTCCTCCCCCTCCACTAACCGCTGGACGACCTCCACCTCCACAGCCTCCGGCACCGCAACCCCCTCCCCCTATTCCTCCTCCTCCTCCTCCACTTGGATGTCCTCCACTCCCTAGAATTAAAAATATATTTAAAGAAATAAGAGATGATATAATTGCAAAAAGTTTTTATTGAAATCTGAAATAGTTTACTATAATAGGATTAGAAATTGATTTTAGTCATTAAACTTCACAACTTCAGTTATATATATATTATGCAGAGCCTTGAATTGTAAGGGTGTAGGGGGTGTATGTATGTTATATATAGCTGGAGTGGCCACTAGGATAGAAACAAAAATGTTTTTTTTTTCGTTGCCTTTGCTACCCTGGGTGGCATAGATGGCAAACCACTCAGTCTATTCGTATATGACTAGAAAGGTAATTTGTGGCGGATTTAGCTGGGAAAAGCAATAGCTTCCTCACTGTTACTTTTACTTACTGTTAGGGATGTTAACGTTTTCATTTTTCAGAAAAACGATCGTTTCGTTATGAAAACGACGACGAAAAATCGAAAGCGAAACGATCGTTTTTAAAAACGATCGTTTCTTTTTAAATTTTTTTTTTAAGCGATTGTTTTTATAAAATTCGTCGTTTCGTTAACGATCGTTAACGACGACCCCTTCATTAACGATCGTTAACGAAGAGAGGAAACCGACCTGAAGAAGGTGCGTGGAGGCTTGCAAAACATGTTCCTACCTTGTCCAGGTCTATATCCTGCATTCTGGCAGAATCCATATTCACTGCAGACAGGAGCATAATCAGGACAGTCATACGAGGAACTACAAGCACCCTGGGCGCCACCTGTAGAAAGATATTAGGCTTTAGTAAAGATGGGCATCGGTTTTGTGAACAAACAAAATTTGTCAAAATTATTTTTAATGAGAAAGGCAATTATATAAAAATATGTGTGAATTTAATTTGCGACAAAGTTAAATTAAATTAATTTTTAATTAAAACTGAAAATTATTCTGGAACTGCGCTAAATTAGTTTAAGAAAATCCGGGAACCAAATATATAAAAGTGCTACAATATAGCAAAATCATCATTCCACGTTTATTACTCTGTATCTTAAATATATTAAAAATTGAAATTAATTAAAATCTGTTTCATAAAAGAAATACTGGACAAGTTTAAACAGTTACAAAATATTTCTTAACATTGTTCTGACCAATTTTTTTTCCTTCTGCATTTTTAGTACAATGCTGTTTTGAATAAAATAAAATCAATTTTTTACAATTTTAAATTAGGTCCAAAGGAATTGAGTTTTAGCCACAATTTCAAATTTTCTAAACCCTATATCTTTGCAACCCGATGGTGTAAACCTTTGATATTTCAAACTACGACTATTTGATCAAACAGAGTTTATAGTTTGAAATATCTAAGATCTACGACATCGGGTCGCAAAGATATAGGGGTTAGAAAATCAGAGTTTGTGGCAGTTGTTGTGAGTTACAGATAGATAGATAGAAAGACAGACATACATATTAGATGGTCTAATGTAGTTAGATTAAGGAATTCAGTTAAGAAAATCTCAAATCTGAAAACGTAACTTAAACGTTTTTTTTCGTTTTAATGTCCGATTCTGAAAAAAAAAATTTAGCTTCAAATCGAAAACTGGGAAATCATTTTTAGGAATTATTTTGGAAATTTCTTTTTAAAAAACTTCGTTGTCAATCGTCATGGTCTAAGATAATTAATACAATCACAATTTGACATAGATCACAAAATATATCACAATTTTGCAATTCACTTTATAAAATGTGAAGCTAAAACTAAGTTCTTTAACGTTCTAAAATGTACATGTCTGCGGGCTACAACAAAAGTATTATTATATTATAGTAAAATCAAATGTCCGATTCACCCATTAACCTTTATTTGATAATAAATGTGGAAATATCGTCGTTTTCTTGACTCTAAACGAGTTTAATTCTGATTTATCCATTGTGTTTTAAAGGAGACTGTAAAGGAGAAACGAATATATACGGACTCTATGTAATAAAATAAGAATTAAATAATTATAACAGGAGCAAACCTGAGATAATCTTATTCAGATTGGTTTCGTATTTGCTGAATTTGATCTGCTTAAACCCACAACTGTTATGCTCAAGTTACCTTTGCAGAGAAACCACAAATTGAAGTAAACAGTTAATTTTAAAAAACTAAATCATGGATTTCTAATTCATAATCTTTGACCCAACTCTGACGACAGCTTGTGTCACCGTGATTGACAGCTGCAAGATCTTCGCCTCGACATAAAGAGTTAGGTTAGGCCCAATGAAAATAAACACGACCTTGCTTGGTTTTAGTGGAGAATAAAGCTCAATGTTGAGTCTTGTTCTCAAAACAACCCGAAATGCGCCAATTCCTTCCATGAAAATTCGCCAAATAAAATATAAACCCTTTGTTTTTAACTCAACTCTGTGGAATATAATATGTAGCTTGAATCCTAAAGCCCAAGCCGTAAATAAGGCCCAACGACAGCTTAGACCCGAGCCATATTTTCCCGATGTTTTTAAATTGTGGGCTCAGTATTATATAAAGATAGTTTTGAACGCAATTACACAACTAGAATATTATTACTATTAATAAAAACTTTGACGTAAAAAAAGTCAAACTCAGATCATTAAGTTTCAACGAATCCAACTTTTTCAAGAATTCTAAAACATTTTTAAACCGATGACGATTTTTAGTTTTAATTTATTTTTAACTTTGCCATTGTTTAATTTTAAAAGAAAAATCTTCTATTCATAATTTCTGAAAAAATTAGTTTTCAATTGAATCGTTAACAAAGTACAAAGAGGCGAGAGGTCATATTATCATTTGCTAATCTGCAGATTAATTTAATCTTTATTCGATATTCCGCATGGTAAACATACCCGGCCAGGGTTAGAAGGGGCTTTGATCAGGGACGTGTCGATCCGGAGCTTTGATCAGGGACGTGTCGATCCGGATCTTTGATCAGAGACGTGTCGATCCGGAGCTTTGATCAGGGACGTGTCGATCTGGAGCTTTGATCAGAGACGTGTCGATCCGGAACTTTGATCAGAGACGTGTCAATCCGGAGCTTTGATCAGAGACGTGTCGATCCGGAGCTTTGATCAGGGACGTGTCGATCAAAGAGGAATTAAATTAATTCATAGATCTGTAAGTAAACGATTGAGATCAATGCTTTATCCCATATTCACAACACAAAATTTCTGACTTTTGGATTTATAAATTTATTTTATAAACGAAAAATGAAAATATGAACTAGATGATCTACGCGCGAAGTAACAAAGTCGTAATGATTAAACCACTGGTTTCCGAAAATTGAGTTTATTTTTATCAAAATTTTCTTTTCAGAATTTTGTATCTATAGACTAAATAAATTCCTACTTTCTTATCAAAACAATCTAAATTCCAATTCTCATTGAAACTTTCTAAATTCGATTCTCATTGAAACTTTCTTAATTCCGAGTCTTAAATCTTAACTAACAAATATTGATTTTTGACCTGCACTAGATGCCCCACAACCGCCTCCACAGGCTACTCCCCATCTAAAAAAATGGTTTTACCAAAAATCTAAATAAAATCCAACAAAACAATTCACTAGCATTGTAATACAGGGTGTACCAATATACATGGGAATCAGACCCGACATTGAGGTCGATTTTGAGTTTGGATTGTTCACAATTTATTTACGTGTATGTAGGGTTGTTAATTGTTTTTGAAAACGATCATTAAACGATCGTTTTTTTCCTTTTCCTATCGTTTTTTGTTTCGTTTTCCGATCATTTTAAAAACTTTTTTAAAAAACGATAGTTTTTAAAACGATCGGAAAACGAAACAAAAAACGATAGGAAAACGAAAAAACCGATCGTTTTTCAAAAAAATGAAAACGTTAACATCCCTACGTGTATGTATCTTGAAGTAATTTTTATTTTGAAAATAGCTTTTTTATCTTAAGCATTAAAAAAGACAAACATAAGATTACAATTTTGATTTTTGAATAAACTAAAATCTGAAAAAACGTCAAAAACGACACAAAATTCATCATCATAATTCCCCTGTTTTCACACATCATAATTCTATGGTTTTGTTTTACACATTTATAAAATAATTTCTATCTGTTCATATCTATACTCCGCGGGTTTACACATTCTTGAAGTTTATTCCTTTCTGTTCATATCTATACTCCGCGGGTTTACACATTCTTGAAGTTTATTCCTTTCTGTTCATATCTATACTCCGCGGGTTTACACATTCTTGAAGTTTATTCCTTTCTGTTCATATCTATACTCCGCGGGTTTACACATTCTTGAAGTTTATTCCTTTCTGTTCATATCTATACTCCGCGGGTTTACACATTCTTGAAGTTTATTCCTTTCTGTTCATATCTATACTCCGCGGGTTTACACATTCTTGAAGTTTATTCCTTTCTGTTCATATCTATACCCTTTTTTTTTTTACAAATTTTTGAAGTTAATTCCTCTCAGTTTATATCTATACTGTGTATTTTTTAATTACTCACTGTTTAAATTATAATTCTGTGGTTTTGATTTAAATTTAACTTGAGCGTGTACACTGCAGAGACTAAATATACTTATGTTGTAACATAAAGAAATTTAAACATTTTCACCTTTTCCGCCTAGGAGGACCTGTTGAAGACACAACCACCACCAACACACCAACCACCAACAACATCTAAAATACTTGAAGATAAAGACTATAATGTTGTAACTCGAAAACCGTGAACTAATTGTTTTTGATTTTTTTTTATTAAAAAAGAATAATTTTCTAATGTGTAAACTTATATCAAGAGTTACCTGCACTAAGGATAAACCTATAAAAATATGATGATTACAAGGTTAAAATTAACTTTTCCGTCTAGAATACTTTAGTTATATGATTTGAAGAGGAGAAAAAAAAGTTTGCAGTTGCAATAAACGACAAAAGATAAATTTCGTTATACAGTCCTCTCATCATTTGTGGGTCAACCTGTATATCTAAACCAAAAGAAGGAAAGAAGAAGACAAACATTCTATTGATTCCTGGCCAATATTTGTGATAATTATTGGAGAAAAAAATAATGTATTTTGTAGTCTAAACCAGAAAACCGCGGAGACGGAAAACGACATTATAGCAATATTTAAGTGTTTTTGATGTTGTTACAAATAGATTTACTAGACACTTATTAATCCAATTATTGAGTAAGATGGGTGTGTTTACACTTAATAATTGATGTGTTTTTGTTCATTTGACTATTTAAAGTCATTCTTTTCGTCTAAAAGTCGTCTTCCTATTCCAGAGTTTTCTGGTTATGACTGTAGACAAAAATCAATCCATATCCGGTCGCTCACTGAGGTTTAAAGGTCTCAAGCTCTGGAGCAAAAATCGATGAAAATTTTGAAAATTACTTCTTAAAAACCAAAGCTGATATCAAGTGCTTTACGGTGCTAAAATTTATTTATCTATTTAAGATTTATTTACACACATTTAATATACATACATATATTACATACTAAATATATTAATGGTTTAGTTTAAAATTTGTTTTGTTAGGAATGTATTCATTATTCACTCTCAAATCTCCAATTTCATAAACCTGCTATTTTAAAAAAAATCTATAGTCAGGCTTTTGATAATTATTTTTTTTCAGGAATAAACTCCTTGCACTTAAATAAGGTAAGTCAGGAAAAGTATCAAATTGTGGTAACAATAAAAATGTCAGCAATATTTAGAACAAGTCAGCTCGTAATTAAAACACATGTACATACATGTACATACATGTACATATAAAGGGCTACAGAAAACCATAAGTTAGATAGAGCAGACAAATCAAAGCTCAAGGCGTTGAAACACTTCTAAGTCAACCCTGTCTTGAAAATTGATGAGAATATATTTATAAGTAGGCTAAATCTATGTGAGCTCTTGAATTGAATCCTGATCTGTAGGATCAGAGCTGGGAACTTTAGAATGAATAAACTTTAATCCTAACTTCTTGATCCGAATATCCACTGTGGAAACTTTTCATTTTTGTCCTAATTCACTCTTTTTCTCTCTCCTTGGATATCCATTAATTGTTTTCTCCAATGAGAATAATTCTGTTCTCTCATTGGTTGCCCGCTTTTCTCTGATTGTCTGCTACAGTTTTTCAGATGATTAAATATTAATTTGAATTTTGTCGTTTTTTCATACACTTTTAAGATAATCTTGCAAGATTATGTTAATCTTGAGATTATCATAAAGAGAGGATCAAGCATTAATCCCGATATCCACCATTCTAAAGTTTTCAGCTCAGGGCATGTCTAGGAACTAAACGAGTCTATAATTCAGATCCGGAATCCAAATTCGCCTTGTGGATGAGTCTGAAATCCGGATCTAAGATCTGAGCGAGAAGAAGATGCGGATTTTCGGGATATATGTGTGAACACAGGATCCGGATCCAGTGTCGATTGACATATTTTAAAAAAAAGATAAATAATCTATATATAAAATAATCTCTGTTTGTCTGTCTGAATGCTTTTGGATGTCCGATCATAACTCAGAAACCCTTAAACCGATTCGCCTAATATTTTGATTGGGAGTTTAGCCTGGTTTAAACACTCTAAGTTGAACGTGGGTTCCCAAACTAGTTTATAATATTTTTAAAATTAAATTTCTCGTGAAATATTTAGTATGTAAAATAATAAAGATTACCTTTGCCAGCATATTGCTGGTTTCAACTGAATATTTTGATTAGAAGTAGAGAGATGATATTTATTCTTGAAACAAGAACCAGGCCCATTTCCAGGACTTCCCACTGTCTGGGTTGGGTTTTTATTAATTAAAATATTAAAGGGACAGTTAAAGGGATAGTTTCTAGTGACTCATTTTAAAATATTATTTCTGAAGCAGAATTCCGCAATGAACTGTTGTAGCAAAACCACAAAGGAAGATAATCAAGTTGAAAACACCGATATCTCATTCATGTTGGAAGCATGTTGGAAGGTTATTGTGGGAACGGTGGTCAGAGGGGGTGACAGTCGCCCCCTCTCCAGAAACTGCTTTTACTTTTTATTACTTTTTNTGATTTGTTAAATTTTAAAAACTTTGCGGGAAACAGATAAAACAATCTTAAAATTAAAAAAAGAGGAGATCAAGCTACTATCTTGATATCCATGCAATTCTTAAGTTTTCAGTTCAGAGCTGAAAACTTCAGAATGGGATATCCTTAATCCCGATCGGTTAATCAATCTGGAGATTAATAACAAGAGGAGAACAGCATTATTTAATCTCGAGATTAAGAAAAAGAGTGGATCAAGCCTTAATCCCGATATCCACCATTCAAAAGTTCCCAGCTCTGATCAAACTAGCTCAAACCAGATCAACCGGATCAAGCCAATTCAAACCAGATATCAAACTTGATATCAAACCAGATCAAAACAAAACCTGATATTAAACCAGATCAAAACAAAACCTGATATTAAACCAGATTAAAACAAAACCTGATATTAAACCAGATCAAAACCTGATATCAAACCAGATCAAAACCTGATATCAAGCCAATTCAAACCTGATATCAATATATGATCGAGATCAATATATGATTGATCTCGATATTTAATGTGGGCACAGTTTAACTATGAGAATTTTGATGCATTTAATTTTGTTGCATCTATTCATTAAGTTGTAA